TAAATTTTGACTCATTCAAAAAGAACCAGTCACAAAAGGATAACAAAAAGAACCTCCAATATAGTTGGCTAGCTTCCTCACTACAAACTCCTCCAAACATTCTAAATAAATACACCATGAAAACAAGTTAAAAATGTGTGACTGAGTTGGCTGTGTGGAAGTGAAAAATGTCTTCTTCAGAAGCAAAACCATGGAGAAAATTTAAAAGCATAACTGCTGCAGAAAAGCATAAATTTTATCTTTGTATAAAGAGGTCTCCATGAGCAAAAAGAGGGATCTCCATTCTTTCGGACCAGGGAGCGGAGATATAAGCACAACCTTATCAAAGGAACTCGATTTGGCCACAATCAAAGGGATCAGCAGAACCGACCATGCTCATTCCTTCCAGTTGAAGAGACACAGTTCTCTGACCAAAGCCTCTACCTGCTACTCTCTGCATGAATGGGGGAGTATATGGTGTCAGTGTGGCAGTCTGTTCCTCTGGTCACTTTGAGGCATGAGGCTGAGATGGGAAAGGGGGTGGGTGGATGGAGGTTTCCCCAGGAGAATGAGTGATGTCGATAACTGAATAAAATGTTCATGAATAGCTTTGATTTAAAAGTGGGGCTTGGGATTTTCTATCCGTTTCTCTCCCTCCCCCATTTCCCGGTGTGTGTGTGTGTCTGTGTGTGCACATACATGCCTGTATGTGCATTTGCTTGGAGGACAGAGGTTGACATCAAGGGTCCTCATTAATCATTTTCCACCTTGCTGTCTAAGACAGGGTTTCTCATTGAGCCTAAAGCTAGACTGGCTGGCCAGTGAGTTCAGGACTGCTTGCTCATTTAGTCCCACAGTCTTTCCATCTCCCCAGTCCTTGTTTTCCAGGCACGCAGCACTGCGTTCAGCTTTTTACGTGCATATGGAGAGATGAAAGCTCCCGTGATGAGCGCTTTACAGACACCTCCTGTAGTAGTTTGAATATAACTGACCCCCATAGGGAGTGGCACAATTGGGAGGTGTGGCCTTATTGAAAGAAGTGTGTCACTGTGGGGGCAGGCTTTGAGGTCTCTTTTGCTCTAGCTTTGTTGACAGAAGTTTCTGTCTCGCCTGGTTCCACAAGGGTTCAGTCCCAAAGAAACACAACAGAGGTCTACATTAACTATAAACTGGCTGGTCTATTAGCTCAGGCTTCTTGTTAACTCTTACATCTTAAATTAGCCCATTTCCAGGGAGGAATTCTCATTTTCTTCCTCTTGTTATGGGTAATGACTGCAGACTGATGCCTTCTTCTTCCCAGAATTCTCCTGTCCTGGTCACCCCGCCTATACTTCCTGCCTGGCTACTGGCCAATCAGTATTTTATTAAAGCAATACAAGTGACAAATCTTTACAGGGTACATGACCATTGTCCCGCAGCAAAGCTTCCCTCGGTGTGGCACTCAGACCATTTTCCTGTTGCCTGCAGGATGTAGGTACTCTCAGCCACTTTGCCCCATCTGCCTGCATACTACCATGCTCCCTGCTGGGACAAAAATGGATGGAACTTCTGAAACTATAAGTGAGCCACCCCAATTAAATTTTTTCCTTTATAAGAGTTGCCATGTTCATGGTGCCTCTTCATAACAATACCTCCCCTGCCTGTGTTGTATTCCATTCTTTTAATAGCATCTTGCTACGTATTCATGGCTGTCGTACTCACCGTGTAACTCAACCTTGGTCTTTTGTTTAGACATAGGGAAACCTTACTGTAGCAGCATCTACTCTTTCCTTTATGATAGTGTCCCAAAGAATCTGGTCAAAGGGATTAGGAAATAAGGAGGTTGGGCTGGCAAATTGGCTCAGTGGGTGCCGTAGTTAGGGCTGCTATTGCTGTGAAGAGACACCATGACCATGGAAATGCTTCCAAAGGAAAACACTTAATTGGGACTGACTTAAGGTTCAGAGGTTTAGTCCATTATCATCACGGCAGGATATGGCAGCATGAAGGCAGATATGGTGCTGGAGGAAAAGCCAAGAATTATACATCTTGGTCTGCAGGCTTCAGAAGCAACTGTGTATCACACCAGGCATAGCCTGAATATAAGAGACCTCAAAGCCTGCCTCCACAGTGACACACTTCCTCCAATAGGGCTGTATCCACTCCAACAAGGCTGCACCTCCTTAAAATGCCATTCCCTAAGGGCCAAGCACTCAAGTACATAAGTCAATGGGGGCCATACCAATTCAAATCACCACAGTGGATTAAAGGTGCTTGCCTTGCAAATCTGATGACCTGAGTTTACTCCCCAGAACTCATGTAAAGATAGAAGGAGGAAACCAACTCCACAGAGTTGTCCTCTGACCCCCACACACATTTCCTGTAATGAGTGCCCATACATGCAGTCTTCATACACACATATACATACACTAAATAAGTAAACAAACAAATAAGGAAGTGGTCTAAGCATCTATCATGACTAGAAGAAAATGATCAACCCTCTTGATTGAACACTGACATCCTTATGAGCCATAAGAGAACTTGTTTTGATGGATGTTAGAGTTTAAACTCTTAGCTACATTATTTCAGAAATCCCCTAAAAAGGAAAAAAAAAGTTCTGTTTCTCCTGAACATGCACACAGTGGGCAGATTTCTTTGTTGAACTTGGCCATAAGCAAAACCACATGGAATGTGAAGAATTGGTTTGAATTAAGTGACAGAACCCATAATTTATAGGGAGCTACCAAGGAATTTAGGCTTGAGGTCAAACAGATGGCCTTGTTAACAGACATATGGTGCCCAGTATTTCCCGGTGGTCAGTGTGCTGGAACCAGCCAGGCTGGGCTGGGAAGTTCATCGGGAGAGACAAAGGACAGAACTCTCCTCCCCAATTGGGAGTGACAGTGGTGTGATGTCAACTCTTATTACCCAGTTAGAAATTGATTATCAGACGGACTTTCTGTCCAGTCTATCTGCCTTGAGCATCTTCTCTGTGCATTATCCTTTATGGATCTTAAATGCGCAGGCTATTCAAGTGGCTGACTGTGCTTATAAAACAACAGGGGGCTGGGAAGGGTGTTCCCGAGATGGCTTTGGTATGAGGCACGTAGAGCCAGGCAGGACCACCAACGAGAGCTCTAAATTCTCATTACGGAGCCTCACTTTCCGTCTTCAGTGTATCATCTGAGAGTCTATCTAGAGTAGGCGCGAGGATTTCAGCCACCAGTGTGGCTGGTGGGAATGTGGAATCCCATCACGCTGAAGATAATTTCGATTGTGATCTTCCTGGTAGGTCTCAGCAGAGACTCCGTGGAATGACAGAGAGCGCTCTCAAGCCTTCATCTACAAATTAGAGTCAAATTTAGTGGAAATGAGGAAGAAGCTTAATTTCTTTAAAGGTATTCTCATTAGTTTTCACACGGATATCTATTTCCTGGGAGATTAAGGTCATGGGGTAAAATGACTGCTAAGTCACGGGTTTATTTAAAGTAAGTGAGACAAGACACTCGGAGAGATTTTAAGACCTGAGTTTTAGCAAAGAGTAGACTGGGACAATCTATGCTTCCCTAAATGTAAAGAAAAAAAGGTTATTAAAGGATCCATGCCTGGTGGTGCATGCCTACAGTCATGCCACTTGGGAGGTAGATATGAGGATCAGAACGTGGAGGGCAGCCTGGGCTACATAATGAGTTAGAGGCCAGCCTGGACAACAAGAAACTCTGTCTCGCCAAAACCAAACAGAAAAAAAAAAGTTTGTACAAGGATACATCATTTGGGGTTAAGAAGACATTTCATTTGGGAAAACGCTTGCTATACAAGCATCAGAACCTGCATTTGAAACTTCGCCATGCATGGGTGGAAGTGAGTGTCTATAATACCAACAACACAGGGGAGCAGAGATGAGATCTCATTGGTCAGCCAGCCAAGGTGAATCAATGAGATCCAGGCTCAGTGAGAGATCCTACCTCGAAAACAAGATAGAGAGAGATTGAGTAACACACTCAGTGTGCTCTGGCTTCTATATACATATATGCAGGCATTCATTCACACATATATGCACACACATGTATGTATACACCTAGATGAACATTCATATTCCCACTACATGTGTATACCCACACATGTACACACACACACACACACATGCACACACACACACACACACACGAAGGGTCCATTTAACAACTCCAAGTTCTATTTTATGAGTTTTCTTGGCCTTCCTTTCAGTGGATTTGATGCTCTTGTAATTTTCCTCTGTCCTCCCCTGCAGTCAACACTGGTCACCCCTTTTTGATTTGTGATAGTTTAATTGACAGATGCCCTCAATTCTTAACCCCTTCCTGGATTTAAGCCTTCTGCTATACAACTTTGCATCCTTTGATCCTGGCATGTGGGCCAGGGTTGGGAGTTCCTGCTCCTTTTCCTGACCTCTGCCTTGTGGTGACACACGCCGGCCAGGTTATGACAGCCAAGGTGGAACAGGCAGAATCTGGATAAATCATCCCTGCATCTCTTCTCACACTATTATGTTTGCTATGTAAATGTATCTGGGCTGGTCTGCGGGGTCATGAGCCCCATGGAGCAGGGCTAAATTGTCACAGTGGCCCAGATGAGACCCAGCCTATGATAAAGCCCAGCCAGGACTTCAGATACAGGGGATGAGCCTTGGTGAACTCAGCCTTGGACCAGCAGACCAGACAGCTGGCTTTTAGAGCCATGACCCCATAACATGCTTATGTGTTACATAGCGCCATGGGGGGGATTATGGTCCCTACAAAATCTGAGTTACTTTTTTCTCTGCATTTGGCTCAGGGAAACAACACAATACAGTTTTTTTGTTCTCCATTGACAAAACTGAGCGAGCTGGAAAGTTGTCTGGCATGCCACAATACATAGAAGTCAGAGGCAGGATTTGAACTTAAGAGGTTGGGTGCCATACCCCGCCCCCCCCCCCCCACCATTTAAGGTGATTAGCTGCTTGTTTACTTACTCCTTGCTCTGTTTTGTTTTTATTTTTTTAATAAAAGAAAAATTTGGCTGGGGCTGTAGCTCAGTTGGTAGAGTGTTTGCCTACTATGCAAAAGGCCATGGGTTCAATTCCCAGGTCCATATAAACAAGATGTTGTGGTACAATCTGTAATCCTGGAGTTCAGAAAGTGAAGCAGGAGGATTAGATGTTCGGGGCAATCCCTGTCTGCATAGAAAGTTTGGGGCTATCCTGGGTTACCTGAGAGCCTGTCTCAAAAAAAAAAAAAAACAAAAAAATAAAAACAAAAAAAAAAACAAAAACAAAACCCCACGCACACAGAAAACACATGGAAATACAACTGACTAATTGTGCATGCATGATTAGTCTAAGACTTCTGACAATATGAGAGCTTCCTGAAGTCTCCGCCGTCCCTTGCGCATCTGAGAAAACTCTGAATGTGGTCGTTCCCCATCATTTCTCCGGGACGCTCTATTGCCGCTGTGCATTCCAATGCCTCTCTATTGTTAGCATGTTCTTGAGGGCACAGATGGCCCCCGCGAGGGGTGGCAGGTTCAGTAAACACAGTGTTGTTGGCGGCATAACAGTACCATGCTGCCCTTACCTGTAGCTGGCTTTTCTGTCACACTGGGAATCTGTAGGTCTTGTCTGACATAGCTGCTCTGCTCTGTCGCACAGGTAGGAAGGCTGGCTGCATCATTCATAGAGGCCTGCACAGCCCTGCCCCTGCCCTCCTGTGACTCCTCAGCCCCACCACACAGATGCCCGGGGCATGTCAATCATTCGGATCTCCTTTTGTCTGTGTTGGAAGAGGTGACTCAGGGATGTTGGCAGTTGTTTACCAAATTGAATTGCTCTCACCGTCTTGGTGGGCACTTGGAAAAGTGCTCTTGTGCCCTTCTGATAGAAGAGTTGTTTATTTTTATACGTATGAGTGTTATTTTGATATGTATGAGTGTTTTGCCTACATGTATGTATGTGTACTACACAAATGCTTGGTGTTCTTTGAGGTCTGAAGAAGGTGTCAGAGCTCCTGGAACAGGAGTTACAGGTGGCTATGAGCAGCCAAATAGGTCCGCGAAGGTACTTGCCTTGAAACCACAAGTGCATCAGGGTAGCAGTTCAACTCCCAGAACCAGTGTAAAGAAAGTCTGAGTCATTTGATAAGGGAGGGAGGGAAGGACAGAGAGATAGAGATAGAGATAGAGAGAGAGAGAGAGAGAGAGAGAGAGAGAGAGAGAGAGAGAGAATGGAGAGAGAGACACCACTGCAAGGGATAGATAATCTTAAGCATTTCTAGGCTGGTGACATTTTCACTGAGACATGAACAATGGAAAGGAGATGAGGATGCCAGTCACGTTTATTCAGAAAGAGCATCCCAGACAGAAGGGAAACAGGTACGAAAGTCCTGAGGCAGGGGCATGCTTGGTATTGTTGGGGGTTAAGAATAAAACCACTGAGGCTAGAGAAGTGAACAAGAGAAAGAGGTGAAGGAAGTGGGCGAGGAACCCGATACCACAGGGTGAGGCAAAGCTTCTGGAACCTTCTTTGATGACTGTATCATCTTTTCTGTTCACAAGGCAGGGACTTAAGCAAGACTTAGATTTGGAAGGAAAGATAGAATGGGATCTAAGAGTCAGGCATGTTCTTCAGGAGCCTTTAAACCAACCGAATATACAATATCCTCATTGATATATTAATATGGCTACAATTTATAGGAAATCATTATCAGTAATTATTACTGTATCGAGAAAAGTAATTGCTAGCACAATTTTGGGAAGCACTTGGCTCCACATTGTCTGTCTTCTGATAAAAACTCCACAATGCCACAGAGAGGTGGGGAAGCCAAACTTAATCTAATAAAGGTCGCCCTCATGTCCCTCCTGCTCTGTGACACACCATTTACTGAATCATCTATTGTTGTCCAAAGAACAAAGACGAACCTCGACAATCGGGGGAATGATAAGGTTCATTTGAAAAGTGGGGAGGAAATTGTGAAAGTGTTGGAGGCCAAGGGCAGAGTCCTGCCCGGAGATCAATAGCTGCCCACAATGAGGAGGGAGGAGGAGGAATAAGCATGATGAATGATTCTGAGGGATGGTGTCCTGCCAGGCAGCCAGTGTGGCGGCCCGATGATATGAGCATACACCTCTGCTGTCTGCATCACATGACCTGTGAACACCTCAGCTGACCCTCTGCAGGATCGCGGGGGCTGGGTTGTCTGCAGGGTTTCCAGGAGCATTGGAAGAGAGCAGGAAATGCCCCAGTGAGGACCACACAGCGCCAGCCTTGTCTCCATCCTTCTCTTTCTTTGATCAAGTTGAGCAAAACCACCGAAGGCAGAGCGGTGCACCTAGGAGCCTGTTAAAGCTTTCCTCCCTCAGATGGAGAAGATGGAAATTAGGAAATCCTACTCCCCAAATTATTTAGTGTAACAAAGACACCCATTGGGCTCTTCTTTGCCTCACACCATTGCCAGCGAAATGAGTGCCTTCCAACTTAGGTTTAAGCTCAGTTTAATTATTCATGAATACTCAGAGGAATGTTCCCCATATTAAAAACCCATCACAAGGAATTCATGATTATGACTGGAGGATGGAGGTACTGGATAGCACGGAGCACTCTACAGGCTGCATTGTCTCTTCTGTCCATCAACAAGCACCTCCAGACTTTCGGTAGAAATGTTTTGGTTTTGCTGGGTGTAGGTGCAGAGTTGGAATCTGAATGGTTGGAGCTGAGCCGTGGGGAGAGTGATGGCTGGACTACGCAAGTTATAAAGTGTCAGGTGGGATGCAGGACATAAATAGTGACAATGGGGTTCTGAGCACTGGGAAGATGCCTCGGAAGACAATGTCTCTCTGTCACACTGTTAAGAGAATAAATGGCTTACAGTCCAGTTCTCAGTTGAAGACAGTGAAGCCTCTAAGGGTTAACTGTTCTTTAAGGGTTTTTCTGTCAAGAAGGGTATAGGCTAAAAAAATATCCCAAAGAAGGTCTACCCACCAAATGTCTGTATTCTCATTAACAATCCATCACTTGCAATGCATGTATAACCTATGTTTCTATCTTTGTTTATATAGATCCAATATCTTTCTACTTACTAAATACCCATCATTTACAATCCATCTAATATCCATCCACCATCCAACCAATAGCCTCACACTCACTAAACACCCACCATTTACAGCCATCAGTAATCCATCCTGCCATGCATCCATGCATCCATCTAACCATCCACATGTCCATCTAATAGCTATCTATGACCTCTCCCCGGATAAATCTATTTGTCTTCTCCTGTGTCTACCAACATCTTCTTCCACATCTCCAGTTAACCAATGAAGCAATTTGTAACACTTCTATCCCACCCTCATCCCCCTTTCTCTTCATTGTCAGTGCTGAAACCCAGACCAATGCATCATCTTCTGGATGCCTGTGATGGCTTCCTATTTAGCCTATCCCTCCCTCCTTTGTTATTGTACAGTTCATTTTTATGACAGCTAGAGAGACCATCTTCTCATGATGTCCCATGACTCCTATGATTGAAGCCTTTTGGTGTGCAGACACCTTTATAGTACTGTTTCCACATAGACCAGAGGAGTTGTCTCCAAGTAGCTAGCACTAGAGTTGAGGAGGAGAAGGAAGAGGAAGTCTTTCAAAGAACAAGTATTCTGGCGTGGGAGGTTCTTCTATGTGTTGCTTTTATTGGTTAATGAATAAAGAACTGCTTTGAGCCTATGGCAGGGAAGAACAGAACCAGGAGAGGAAAGCTGGGCTGTATGCTGGGAGAAAGAAGAGTGGAGTCAGAGAGAAGCCATGAAGCAGCCGGAGATAGACACTGGGAACTTTAGCCAGTAAACTACAGCCACATGGCAATAAACAGATTAATAGAAATGGGTTAAGTTAGTATGTAAGAGTTAGACAATAAGAAGATAGAGCTAATGGGCCAGCAGTAATTTAAATAACATGGTTTCTGTGTGATTATTTTGGGTGTAAGATAATCGGGTGGCTGGGAACCAACAAGTGACCTCCCTTCAACAGTATTCCAGGGGAAGAGGATAACATGTGTGAAGGTCGTGAGGTCAAGGCAGACCAGGTGTATTATAGGATACAAAACAAGGCCTGTGTGGCTGGTGTGGTGCAGGAGTTTAAGGGTGGTAATAGGCGTGATTCAGAATGAACTTAGAGATGGTCCAGACTTCTGTGATGAAGGGTTTCAAAGACAGGGTTGTCAGGTTTAGCAAATACAAATATAGGATGCCTGGTTAAATTAGAATTTCAGGTCGATAGCAAATACATTTAGCATAAGTATGTCCCAGGTATTGCATGGTGTTGAGCAGCTATATACTCCAAACTGAAACTAGACTTAGGAAGGGAAGGAAACTCACAGGGCTCAGGAAGTGAACAGAACTCACAGGTCTCAGGGAACATCTGAAACAAGAGTCACAAAAGTCCCTTCCCAAGACTAGAAAATGGTTGTCAATTTCCAGGGAGAGGAGACTCTCTGCCCTCCACTGCCAGCAAGTTGAAGAGAACTCTAGGGATGCAGCTCCCATGAGTCATCATCCAGGCTAGGGGTGAGCTTTCAGGGATGCAGCTGCCTATGAGTCACCTGTGCTTCTGTAAGTAATCCTCGCTGTGTTATTGGTTCAATAATTAGACTTGGGCAGATTCTGCTCTGTTGTGCATTCTCTGTGCGGTGTGAAAAGACATTGATTAACACCTCAGGGGAGTTTGCACAACAAACAGGGGAATTCTTATGCTCATAGTTATTTGTTGTTCTAATTCAACTGGACACTGAACTGGTATGTTATCTGTGTCTCCTGAGATGATGTCCCAAAACTAAACAAAGTGGAGCCTATCCAAGAATACTGGACTCAATTGTCAATCTTGCTCATGGAGGAGGAATCAAAGAAGGAGTTGGAACTGACATATTAGTGGATATATCACTCTATTCTCATCTACAGAGAGAAAAAGGACATTGGGAAACCTAACTGTATATTTATCTCTGGGACATATTAAATGATGATTATTCTAAGCAATTTACTCTGAACTGTATTGAAGCTGAAAGGCTGAATGTTGCCTTGAAGGGAGGCATCTCATGTCATATGGTTGACCTTGCATCTTCACAGC